TTGGTACAGAGGTACTCTGAAGACTTAGAGCAGCCTGAAAAGGATGTTGCCACAAACATGGACCAAATCCGGGTAAAGCAGCTGAGGAAGCAGCATCGCATGGCAGTGAGTATTTCCATAAACCAAATTTTCATATTCATGAGCAGACTTGTAAAAGGATTGAGGAGTGGTAAAGGGAAATACCTGCCAAGTCACAGTACAAAAGTGTTCCCTATGTTCATCCAGCAGGTACAACATAGGTGGAGGTACTATGGGGGCAGTACCTCCCCCTGTCCCAAATGAGGACGGTTAGCAGTTGAAAGGACAGCAGACAGCCCTCTCTTGACTGAATAATAGTTTTAGAAGTCTAAGCAGATGGCAAGTAGAGGTAACAGAGACTTGCTTGCTAAGGGTGGCACATATTAAACATTTCTGTATTGAAATCTGAAAGGATTTACACTCATTTTTCATTTCTTAGACTGTACTAGTGTTCATTCCTCCTTAGCAAAATCAGGAGGGGGAAACCATCAAAAACTTTCATGGCTTTTCCTAGGAGAACTTGGTTGGTCTGAGGTGGTAATGGGCAAAATTGGTATTCTCCTGCCTTACTGAGAAATTAAATGGATCACTCGGAAAAGTCTTGTTACTGGGTATTTTTTACTGATCTCAGACTAATTCAGAATGGCACATGACAGTCATCCAAGCAGCTGGATACTGTCCACTGCATCTGTATTGCTAAAATCTGTGCCAAGTGGTCTTCGCCTTTCAGCCTACACCATACTGACAAACGTGACATGCGAGAAGTTGAAACATCTGCTATGAAATTATACCCATTTGGAATAGAAAAAAAGTCATACTTGATGTAAAAGAAGCAGATATGTTTAACATTAAGGGTTCTCTTTTCTTTCTTTTTTTCACTCCCCAGATTCCAAGTGGAGGACTTACTGAAATTTGCCGTAAACCTATATCCCCAGGACTCATCAACTCTGTATCTGACTGGCTGATTTCTATTGGTCTGCCTATGTATTCCAGCCCGCTCATAGAAGCAGGATTCAACACACTGAGCAAAGTGCCTTCTCTGTCACAAACTTGCCTTCAAAAAGCTGGCATCACAGAGGAAAGGCACATAAGCAAGCTCCTGGCAGCGGCAAGACTCTTCAAACCTCTTGATCCAGAGGCAATTTAACATGCTCCACAGTGTGACATTGCCTGGTTGAGAATCCACTGCTTCTTCCTGCACCAGTATTGCTCTAATTACTTCATATAGCTAAAGAGATCAAGGAAGTGGCTCCCAAGGACAGGCAGATATCTTCTTCAAATGATATGAAAGTCTGTGGCAACTGAAGGAGAAGAGAAGCAACCACCAGGTAACATAGATGTGGTACTTCCCTCCCCCTCACTCCCATCTAAACTATTCTTACTTCATGAAGTGCACAGGGTTGGCCTAAGAATCAGACAGCTTCACAGAATTAAAGGACCCATGCACATTTTCCTCGAGTTTGTGATAGTGATACTAGTAATAGACCCTGTTTCTATGGAGAGCTCCTTAGATTGGGGGTCTTCTGTACATCTAGGTTCCAGGTACCTGAAATCAGTCCTAAAGAACAGGTGCAAATTCCAGTAGAAGCTGTTTAGCAAACACCTTTTGTTTATTTTAGCAGTCTAGAGCTAAACACAGAGCCCTCCCTGGTCATTTTGCTGTTGCTTGGTGTAGGTCCCAGTATGCCACAAAGCCTTTAGCTAGGCCAAAGTTAATGGACTGGAATTAGTTTTCAGTGTGATCCATCTCTGTCACTCCAATGCAACTAACCCATGGAGAGTCAGAAAGCTTCTTTTTATTTCTACAGAGCTGAGGTCATTTTTATAACTGCTTTCTAGCAATCAGCTTTTTATTTGCCTTAAAATAAGCTTTTAAGCAGTTACCTAGTGTTCACTTACCCGTATTCATGTTTTCCAAGCCTTGTTTCAACCTGTCACACTTAAGTTGTACTTAGGGTGGTTTCCAGCTGAAGTAGCTTCTATAAAATGCCTCATCATAACACCTTCTGTGTTGTAGAGATGCTTTTACAAATGCAGGGTTATGCTAGGTTTTGGTTGTCAGGCTAACTTCTTGTTCACTACAGTCTGCATTTACTGTTGTTACTAAACTGTTCCAAGATATACTGCCTTGTATATATGTAACTGCTTTTCATTTTAATCATATTCTGTGTACTGTGTTATATTGTCAATCATTATGCTGCAGCTTTGACTTGGTATCCTGACCATATTGATTCCAAACAGTGGGTTTCTGCAAATGAAAATTCACTTGTATCAAAAAAGCAAATTGTGTCCCATAGAAATCATCAGATCCAGTAATTCCATTGCATGGACAAAAGGTTCCTGTATAGTCTTATGAATTACACTGTGATTTTTAGAACAATTGATATCCCTTAACAACTGCTTTAATTTTACTTCTCACTGGAAGAAAGTATTGTTCTGGCACATGTGGTGAACCATTTTCCATGATATAATGATATTTTTTTCTGCCTAAATCCGTGTGAAATGGTCCAATCACATATGTGGCTAAATGACAGATTTTATATTTCTATATGGATACACATTTTATATGCCAAATACAGATTATAATGAATAGCACATTCACATAGCTTTTTCTTTGGGGTCTATATATGGTTTGTCTTTCAGCTTCTTGTAGTGCAAATACTTCATGGAAGACAGAGCAAGCTTACTCTGGCAGGTAAAGGGAGATAGTTTAGAAACCTGGACACAGGTCAGGATGTGTGGCTATTTCCAGTATCAATTCTGACATCAACTTCTGTATAAAACCAGACAAGACACTTCGCTCTTTGGTGCCTCAGTTATCACAGCCTCATATTTACATCTCCTGACAAAATGCTCTCAGAATGATGAATGAAAAATTGTGGTTACTCCATGATTCCTTACTATATCTGGTCTTTTCATGATCATGTTTTAAGTCAGATGAATATGCATTTTACTACAGATGATAACTAATTTGACTCCTGGTAGAATTGGTAGATGTTAGATTTACTTTGGTCATTTTGTATTTCACCACTGTCTACTGAACACCATCATATGAAGGCAACTAATTCACCGAGGTAACTTGAAATTGTTCTCAAGCAAAGCTCTGTAATGTTCTCTTTGGTGTGTGGATAATCAGCATGTTCTGATATGACAGCATCAGGAAACATACAGCAGAGGTGTTTTGTACAGCTGGTGAAACTTTAAAAGAAAAGAAAAAATGTGAAAAAATCAAGTGTTTTTTTAATAATGATGGTTTGTCTGTTGTTCTTCTCTGAGGCTTACATGGCAACTCTCAGTAAGCAGGAGATGGAAAGAGTATTGAGACTTCCTGAGATTGCTGGCAGGGACCAGAACAGAGTAGAAGGAAGTAGACAGCAGCTATATTGGAGCAAGGCCAAGCTGGCTATACGCAATAAAAAAGAAAACAAATTTCCTCATATTTCAGGGAAGGCAAGACATATAATAAAGCTCCCCCATATTAATTACTGTCCCTTCTCTTAATAACAGAAGGAGAATTATGGGAATAAACTGAACCTATGTGCCAAACACTCTTTGTAAATCCATACTTTTAAAATGATTATGTGGCCCAAGGAAACCAAATCACACCCATCAGGACTAGAATGAGTAGTTTGAGATTTGTTACTTTTAATAATTGTTTTGCTTTCTTTTTAAGACTGTGGTTTGTGGTCTTACTTGAATTACAATTTTAGTTTATATTTTAGCCTAAAAAAAGCCTTAAGCTTCTCAGTGTTTGAGCTTCCCTGCTGTGGTTTCAGTGACCTCTGGCACTGCCCAAGCAGGTGAGGTGGCGCAGTATGAGAGCCATAACCTCTTGCATCTTCTTGCAACCATTCAGTGCTCTAAGCTAAAGTTTGCTCATTAACTCTTGGAAAACACAGAAGAAACCTGCTGCTGGAATCCTCATCTGCTCTGCTCAGTTTAACAATGTTAAGTATCTATCCATTGTACTTTAGTAACTCAAACAGCTATTTAACAATAGAAGCAGCAAGCCCAAAACATTACTGAATACCATCATAACCATAAGCTTGGATTGATAACCTGCTGTTGCTACCCAGGTGGCAATGACACCTGTAGTTCCCTGTGCTCTCATGTGAGCCTGGCTTTGGATACAAACTGAGAGCACAATCAGAAGCATTAAACATTGCATTATTCAAACAGGTCATCATCTCTAAGAGCAGCAATAGTGGTCGATTCACCAAGTCACAGCTGTGCAGTTGTACTGTATTATTTTTAGAATAAATAATACTTTTGGTCCAAGATACTTTATCTTTAATTGACACCCTCTGGGGAATCAAAACTGTCAAGCAAGTTATGTAACAACTAACAAAGTTGCACTTTCTGTATATGAAATCAATATTTAAATAACTTATTTTTCTCCATTTGCTGTTCTTAAATGATGTAAGTAGCTGTAATATACCAGTACTCAATATGTCCTGCAGTTTGCTTCAACCCAAGAAAGCTGTGTATTGTAAAGAAAAAAAAAAAAGAAAAAACAAAATATGAATGTGTAAAGATTATTGTGCTGTTTCATTTAGCAAAAAAAATGGTTGACAAAAGGGTTTTCCTGTGTATCAAAACTTGTCTATAATTATATGTCATACTGTTCATAGATAAAAAGTAAATAAATTTCTTTGGTCTCTCTTTTTTTTGATTGTTTTTAATTTTGCTAAAATATCTTCTATTTACTGCTCTATTAGCAGTGTCCAGTGATTTAATTTTTTTTTGCTTCTATCTTGAGCCCTCTCCCCCCAGCTTACCAAGCCTCTAGTTCCTCTCCTTGTTAAGAGTCCTCAACACATACCTACAGCAGGAGAAAAGGTTTTAAAAAAAATAAAACCCCTGATAATCCAGGACTAGAAGCAGCCATCAAAACATGATAGGGTGGGATGTGAATCATCACTGCCCAGACTGTCTGTCACATCCTGTGAATGCCCAGCTGCTGGGCTCAGGGAGATGTCTGCAAGAGGTCACCCAGGTCTCCCCTTGGGAGCTTTTCCACTTTGCAATGGAATAATTAAAAATCAGTGGAACTAAGTACAATGCTCTGGAGTTGTCGTTACAGCTCTTGCCTGCAAGAAGGGATTCCAAGCCTGGTTTTCAAATCAGCTCTGCATTGAGGTGCGTCTTTCTGGAGGGGGGAGGCTGTAACTCCTGAGCAGACAGGTAGTGTCTACAGTCTGTAATAAGATGCCAATGTCCAGGTTTTGGGGTAAAGGAGCCTTTGGTCATGTCTCTTGGCACTTCCTTCTAGCTCCCTTGAGTGACTTCTTGCTTACTGTTTTGCATTTGCGGGTCTGGTTAAATTTGCTGTGTAATTAATGGGTATGCTTGGCTGCCTAGCAGAGTGCTGCCAGGTCTACATGGCAGCAGCTTGAAGTTAATCCTTTGAGGATGTAGCCCTAAGGAACAAGGGTGGGCTGTGTCTGCATTAGCTGTTGTTAACCGGAAACTTAACTCTGGAAATGACATCAAGAGAACAAAAAAAAAATCGTTTGGGTTGGATCCAGACAGCTGAATCTTTGGTTCCCCTCGGGCAGCCTCCCATCAGAACTGTACAACGTGGCAGACAGTTCGTGGGAATGAGATAGAGCATGTCAGATGTGAACTTTTAATTTGTCTCCTCTGTTAGCACCTTCGGGGTCTGCCAAGGCTCGACCCGGTTCTCCTGCAGCAGTGGGCACTGCGGGCTGACCGAAGGAGTGCACTGCCAGCCCTGGGGACTGCAGCTGGATCATGGACAGCCTGTTTCCAGGAGTCTCTCAAGTAACAAAACAGAAATAAAAACAAAACAAACACTGCACAACATGAAAAGCCAGAGCGCTTGCCATTTCTGCAGCTGGAAGGAGTTTTGCTTCCCTTCCAAGGCTGCTGTGGTCCAGGATTGCTTTGGGAGCAGCTGAAACACAAAGCCCCCATCTATTGCTCTCAGCATTTTGCTGGTGTGTTTGATCCAAATGTGTGCTAACCACAGCAGCCCCTGCCAAAACCAAACACCACCACCCCCAACACATACATAACCTATGCTTATTCTAAAAGTTCTCTTTCCACAAGTGTTTGCACCAAAAAGAGATATTGGAGAAGCATGTTGAAATTAGTGCTGCTAATACTTAGAAAAAGAAACTGCTT